AATTTGTTGCAAGAGAATCTCCAAAAGTAACTGTAAAGCTCCCAGCAAAAGCATCTGCTGTGGTTAAAGGGCTAGAGCACGGGGAGCTAGGGGAACTGCATCCTTTTCTTGGACAAAATCCCCAAAAAGTCACATACCCCAAGATGTGAGTTGGAAGGCTGGACTATTCAGTGGGTAAAGAATTGGTTGGATGGTCACAGCCAAAGGGTAGTGGTAAATGGCTCTGTGTCCAGGTGAAAGCCCATGATGTCCCCAGGATTCCATCTTGGGACTGATGCTCTTCAACATCAACGACATAGACACATAGACAGTGGCATTGAGAGCACCCTCAGCAAAGCGATGCAGTTGACACAATAGAGGAAAAGGATGCCTTCCAGAGGGACCTGGACAGGCTTGAAAAGTGGACACACAAGAACCTAATGAGGTTCAACAAGGCCAAGCTGTCCTTGGGTTGAGGCTATTCCAGACTGGGAGGAGAACTTGAGAGCCACCACATGGAGAAGGACTTGGGGGGTTCTGGTGGATGAAAAGCTGGACATGAGCTAGCAGTGTGCTCTTGCGGCCCAAAAGGCCAACTGTATCCTGGGCTGCATCAAAAGGAAAAAATCATACAAATTTGCCCTGAGGATGGATGATACCTCTTGCATGTAGAGACCAGTGCCTAGGGGGACGTTGCTTTGGTCTCTCCCAAGATGAAGTGAATTACACTTCTGAGTTCTCCTCGAGTTGTAAAAGGAGCTGATGCACTTCAGACTTAGACACCTACTCCTCATGTTTCAAAGTTAGAACAGATGAGTCATACCTGGAGTGATCTGTTGAATTTTTAGCAGTCTAGAAAGTCTTTAGACTCTTTAGAAAGTCTATAGAAATGTTGGGACAGGACACAGAGACGCTGTGTCTCAGCTTCAGATGTAAGTATCTTCCATGAAGAGAAAAGCACCACGTATTTGTAAATTGCTCTTTGCCTAATGTACAGAGAATTACATTGTAATAAACCACATCGTTAAAAAGACATTGGTCTGTAAGCAGCAGAGCCTGCTTTCCTGTGGCTTGCATTTCAGGACTGGATTATCTTACATTTAATGAGGAGCATTCTGACTAAAGGCTTTTCTCCTGTTAAAAAAGACACTGTCTCATGTGGATTTTCTGGTGTCTGATATTATATTTGGACTCAAGCTGCAGTTGTTTATGTTCTCCTATCTGAAAATGTTATTTGCCCATTTGGCAAGATGCACTTCTCTGGAGACATGGAAGGGTTAAATCTCTCAACCTGCCCAGAAAAGTGGTGAGATTAGTCTTTGACACTTCTATCATGCTTAAATTTGGCTGGAATTGACCAAGAAGATAAGAGACTATTCAGAATGAGATTTTTGAAATGTTTTATGTCTGTTCCACCTTTTAGTTTTAGAGGCTCAAGTAACAGCCATATGAAAGACAAACAAGTGCAGAGGCACCCCTGCAGTTACAGTTCTACCCCAAAAAATGTAAGTTAAAAAGCAGTTTTTCTGTGAAACGTTTTTCACAGAGACTGGGAATTTTTAAAATATTTCTGTCAAAATATTACAGAATTCACAAGTTAGAAGCAAGAACGTTGAATAATTCAGAAATCAGATTTTGAAAATCCTTCTCACCACGATCAGAGAACAAAAACAGATCATGTGGTTTGCACAGGAATTCTAGAATTTTCAACAAACTTGAGCTGAATGAGGCTGGACCAAAAAATTAATTGCAGAAACAATTCATAAGAACCTTTCAGGAATGGAACATGCTGGAGGGAATTCTCATTTATTTGCACACCAAGAAATCACAAACGAAGGAAAGGAGCAATATACGATGAATAAATTGCTCACTGAAATTTATTTTTCTTGTTCCTGAGTCATAAAAACATGATTGTCATATCATGATTTTGGAGATACCTCAACTTTCTTATTTTGAATACAATTTAGACCGATGAGCTACCAATGCACTCCATGCTTATCAAATTAGGAGAATGCATTTCTAAATTCAATTACAGCCTCAGTGGAAATGGTTTCTCTGACTCTGGTAATCTTTGGAGAGGAATTATACACAGTCTATAAAGCTTTACATTTCAAAACCCAATTTTGAATGTTATTCAAGAGGTTAATTTAAGATTCATCTTCCAAAAGAGGAGTTAAATAAAACTGATAGAAGGCTGGAACTTGTCGAGTGGTTGAGAGGTTTATCAGCATGTGAGTATGAGTTCATTAGTTTTAATTAGTATAATCACTAATGTTGCATTAACAGTTTGGTGAGAAAAAGTAATTGCTCACACCCACTGTATTAGATTGGGAGATTAGAATTCATTTTACGAGGCAATTAGCATTTCAGGGATTTTTTAAAAGGCTTTTACGATCTGCCATTGCAGAGCTTCCTTCACCAAAAGAGTTTAAATTAACCATAACTTTCATCTTAATGGGATGCAAAAATTAATGTAGAATTAAGTGTGAACCAGTCCTCTGCAGCAATCCCAGAGCGATAAGTAGGCAGCTAAAGCCACAAACCTCGATTAGCTTATAATGACCTGCTTTATTTCCCAGACAATGATAGTCATTTATCTGTCCTCAATTCATTATCTTGTTGAAAAGTTTATATTCCTGAATTTTATACAGCAAAACAAATAAAAAATGAGGAAAGAAGGAAGCAGAACAGTACTATTAAAGTAATAACTCTCCAAAGAAAAAGCTGGAAAGTTCAATAACAGCATTTAAATAGTACATTATTCTTCATATCAGGTGTCAGAGAACGTAAAAACACCTCGCTTTTGTGCTCAGGGTCTTGGGAAGAGCTATGCACTATCTGGATGTGGCCCTAGGCATCCTGCTCTGGGTGTTCCTGCTGGAGCACGGTTTGGAGCAGAGGGACCCAGAGAGCCCTGCCAGCCTCAGTTGTGCTCCAGTTCTATGATTCTGTGAATATGCAACAGCAATCGTAACCCTGGCCTGGCCATCACATCCCTCAGACAAATGGAGATTCTGAATGAACACCAAGAACTTTTATTGTCCTGGTTGGCAAGGAAACCCTGGCTGTCTAAGAGTTGGGATAGCTAACACAAGAGCTTCTCTTCCAAATTGTCTTGGAAAGCAAAAAATGCGAATTCTGGAGGTGGAAACTGATGGCAGCAGTAACAGAGAGCCTCAGAGACAGCATTACATGGACACACATCTCACAGGTTGCACCTTCTAGTTCTGCTTTTATCGGTTATGCAGATATGCGCATCCCAGGGTTATACCCACTTTGTATTTTTAAGCTTTTCCCTCACCAGTCCCTGTATAGAAACACCTTTCGAGAAAGATGGTGGCAAAATTACAGGGTCTCAAGCAGCAGGACATGTGTATGGGCAAGAGAAACCTTGACTTATCCCACCCAACAACTCTAAGTAATAAACCCATAGCAGACTGTAGTCACTACCATTTGGGTATTGGGAATTATAAGAACCTTTAGAAAACATACATTGAAACAAAATGAATGCACTCATATATATATATATACTCTTAATTCTTATGCACCTTACAAGCATCTCCAAAACAGTTCAGGAGATAATCTCCCCTCTACATGGAAGCATCTAAAATTGAGGTCTGACCAGGCAAATTGGATCTTAGCTTTAGTCTCTCTGGCAGCAGCCACTGCCACATTTAAGAGGTGAATTACTCCAGCCAAGGTCAGAATCAGCTGGTGGAAAGGGCTGCATCTCTCTATTGACTACAGAGACAGTCTAAGGTAACCAGGTTTCTGTCTCAGATGGCTGAAGTAAATGCTTAAAATTAGGCTGGATGAATCATGACCATCATGTGGATGCCTGAGGCTTTGCCTATGCATGGAGTTATTGCAGCAGAGCCATTACTCTTCCCAAATACCATTACACGTGGACACTCTTTTGGTTGGATAAAACTTACTCATTTCTCTTCAACAATGCCTGCTTGACAGAAGAAGTGCAGTTTGCTTCCTAGTCATCACATGCTATCATTCTGCTAGAGCCTCTGCCTTCCCATTTAGCTGCCTTACTTTAATCCAAATTAACTTTAGCATTCTAAATTTACCATCTATCTACCTTCAAGAGCAATTTAGGATTTATGGAGGAAAGTGCATCAGTTAAGCACAAATACATTGACCAGAAAAAAATGAAGGAACTGTATACAATAAAAACTGACTTTTATTTCACGAATTATGGGTGTTATAAAGCATATCATTTCAGAAGAAATGCCTGTATTTGCCAGTGTGTTTCATTAAAGCATAATAAAGCTGTACATATTTCATTTCCTTGTTCTGAGCTGCAAGAGCTGTAACCATATAAAATGCCCCATGCTGTCCTTGTTTTGTAGGGCTTTTTTTTCTTTTTAATCAGATTTTCCCTCTGAACTAATGAAATTGCTCTTGAAACACATACATCACTTTCATTTAAGGTTACTTATCATGGCTCAAATGGTTTCTCTCTTCTGGAGAACAAGGCATCTGCTAGCATATTTTGCTGTGCAAATCCAGGCTTGTATCACCTCTGATCTCAGTCTGGTTTCAGGAGTGTTGTGTTCTTGGGGCTCCCTCTGATGCTGTTTTAGTTGGGATATCAGGTGACTGGTGTTTGTGGGGTCTGCACCCTACATATCTGCACTGGTTCCTTGCCCACCTACTATTGTTAGCGATTTATCACTCTCTACAACTCCTTGACACGAGGTTGTCATGAGGTTGAAGTCAGTCTCTTTTCCCAGGTGACTACTGATAGGATGATAGTTAATGACCATAAGTTGTACCAGGAGAGGTTCAAGTTGGATATTAGGTAAAACAACTTCTCAGAGAGAGCGGTGAGGCACTGGCACAGGCTACCCAGGGAGGTGGTGGAGTCCCTGCAGGCTCAAAAAGCATGTAGATGTGGCACTGAGGGGCATGGGCCAGTGGGCATGGTGGCGATGGGTTGATGGTCAGAAAAGGTGATCTTAGAGGTCTTTTCCAGTCTTGATGATTCTATGATTTCTCCCTTCTCATAGTATGCACCAACCCGTTGTGCAGTTGCACAGACATCCACGGAGCAAGGCAGCCTTCCTCCCTGCCATCACCATGAAGCAGTGCACGACCCCCAGCTGGTTCCCTGCATGTGTCCTCTCTTCTCCTGCCCATGGGAAGGGCACCTGGAGGTGGTGGTGTCCCACCTGAGGCAAACTCACCGCATCAACATCCTTCAGGGGGCAGAGATTGTCTTCCTGGCCACGGACATGCACCTGCCCGCACCCACGGACTGGATCATCATGCACTCTTGCCTTGGCCACCAGTTTTTGCTGGTTCTCAGGAAGCAGGAGAAGTACAAAGGTCACCCCCAGTTCTTTGCCACCATGATGCTGATCGGCACGCAAACCCAGGCTGACAACTTCACCTATCGGCTCGAGCTCAACAGGAACCAGAGGCGCCTCAAGTGGGAGGCAACTCCGAGGTCGGTGCTGGAGTGCGTAGACTCTATCATTTCAGATGGGGACTGCCTTGTTCTGAACACTTCCCTGGCTCAGCTCTTTGCTGATAATGGGAGCCTAGCAATAGGAATTGCAATAACCACCAGCAAAGTTCACAACAGTGAAGCTGAAATCTGAGGGAGAAGAGGAAGAGAAGGAGGAGGAGGAATAATGGTGCTCTAGCTGCTTTGTGAGAGCCAGAACTTGCAGACTTTTTGGGGGGGTCTCAGGTCTTTTATGGTATTTAGTACTGGTCCACAGTGGGCATTATGTAAACATCCCGTGGTTACGGTCTCTGTGTAATGTATTTACTGTTTTGTTAATACAATTTTATGAGAAATTTTAAAGAGGCTGATCAATTTATTGTCGCCTTTCAGCAACACTGGAGATGCTGCTCTCCTGGAAAGTACACCAGGATGATTCACAAAATCCTTTGGTTTGAGAATGCCACTTCTTCCATTGCTTGCCTAATTGCTGGGTATTAAGAAGGCCTGCATGTCCGGTAAACACAAAGTATTCCACTAAGGTACAAGAACACTCAATTTGGATAAATTCCTTGATCACTGGTTCAGGAGCAGCTTCAGAGAAACTGATGTACTGCACTGAGCTGACTGCAAGTGGGCTGGTTTGCAAAAGGCCTCAGACTACCAGAGGTAGCTTGTGCCTCCCCTCCCACCTATATTTTGAAATGTTTACTTATCTCCCCATGTTCCCCATTTTCCTCATCGGCAACAGAGATGTAATGTTTATACTGGTCACAACCAAACCCCAGGAAGTTTGTGGTTTCATAGTTCCCTTTGGCTCCAGGGGAGGTAAAGCTCTCCAGACAGACTTTGAACACTGTAGAAGAGAAGTCACTTCCTCTGCTGAGACATGGCCTAGGAAGCCTCATCTTGCATTAAATCAATCACAACATTTAATGAGAAGTCACCGTGAGTATGGTTAAATCTCACTCACTTCTCATGATGGGGAACAAAAGACTTGCCAGGGTAGAGATGATATCCATAATAAAAAATCAGAGTATTCACCTTTTAGCTACTATTTCCTCATGTATTCAAAAAGAGATTTTCAGAAAATTAAATTTAGGATAGCCCTACATTTGTACTAATCTATCTATTGAATTCTTTACCCCTTAGCTCCACAGCTTGTGCTGACAGGCATTGACTTGAAACAACACAGCTGGAATCAAAGAATCATAGACTGGCTTAGGTTGGAAGGGACTTCAAAATCCCACCCAGTTCCAACTCCCTGCTGTAGGCAGGGGTACCACTCACCTGATCAAGCTGCTCAGAGCACCATCCAGCCTGGCCTTGAACATCTCCAGGGGTGGAGCATCCACAGCTTCTCTGGACAAACTTTTCCCGTGCAGCTGGGAATATCTGCTTGTAAATTGGCCAAGAGATTTGTAATGTATTGCTTTAAAAATAACCTTATTTTTTTCCTTCTATATACTTGGGTTTGGGGGTGGTCCCTTTCTTCTGCTGAGCGTACTTCACAGACAGCAGTGGTCGCAGGAGATCCTCCCTTAGGTGTCTCCTTGGAGAGCACCAGAGGGAGGTGCTGGCCATCTCCCAGTGCTCGGCCTGGCTGCTGCTGAATGCTTTTCTGAGAAGCAGCCAGTGGGTTGTGTCAGCTAGTAGCAGCAGAGGCTGCTTGCCTGAGTCCCATGGAAAACTAAGGAATGAGACAAGTGAGCTAAGGACAAGCTTTCCGCATTTCGTAAGGCATCTTAGATAGCCAGCTTTGGGTAGGAAAAGCCCTGGTGCTAATTTCCACCACCTGCTACTCCCCTGGAAATTTCTGAAAATAGTGCACGAATAAAGCAAATTGCAGATTTCCGATGAATGCTGGTAATGCATCTTTTGAGTCACCTCATGTCCTCACTTGGGCTTTCACAGCTGGCTGCTGCTCAGAGAGGAGCCAAGACCTCTTCAGCATGCTGCTCATGACCACAAAGGAATGGAGGCTGAGATCTCAAGAAGGCTCAGTCTGGTATGCAGTACATATATGCAGGGATATACTTACACAGCTCTTCTGTCTCCACATTTTCCGGGGCCATTCTGGTTTGCAGCACTTTACCAAAATGCACAGCCTTCAGAGTGGCTTGCTGTTTCCCTGCAATGTTAAATATTCAGAACCAGCAACTGCTGCCCTTTCCCTAAATGATGGTAATAAATAAATCATTGGCACTTTTGTGAACTGAAACTTCTCCAGCTCCTCCAGCAAATATTCTGCTGCTGAACTAAAAGAAAAAGCAATAAAGCTTCAAAAAAACCAAAAAACAAACAAAAAAAAACCCAAACAAACAAACCCAGTTTCTCTAGCCTAAACTTCCTGAACTCTTTGTGCACTGTGGAAGAGATCTAACATAGTACTGCTTTTGTTGTCTGATCACAACCCGCTCTGCAGGAGGGATATTCCTCAGGTATTCACATGTTTTAGATTACTTCCCTCCAGCTGGCATCTTTGGCTCTTGAAATATCTACTGAAATTAAAAGTACACTGTTGGTATTTTCTGGGCATGATCTCAGCCAGAGCACTGTTACATATCTGTCAGGAGGAATGTGACAGCAGCAGTTCTCTGGGATGGGCATTTCCATCTCTCGCCATTTCTTGATTTTCTGATTCCTACAGTGCTGGAGGCACTGTGGATATCTGACTTCCACATCACAGATCTCCTCACATCCCACATGTCCTTCTACCAGAGCCTTCACACAACCAAACACAGTTCAGTTTTCTCATTGCTTTCCACGCCCTCCCTATTTTCTGGTGGAAATTCTTTCAAGCCCTCTCTCAGACTCTCAGCCTTGGCTTTCCCTTTCATGGTCTGTGGTGCTGCTAGACTCCTCCTGCTCTGCTTTATGGGTGCCCATTCTTAAATCTTTCTTACTGCTCTCTATGAGGTAATGGCTTTAAGTCATGCCAGAGGAGGTTCAGGTTGGGTATTACGAAACATTTCTTCTCAGAACAACTGGTGAGGCATTGTAACAGGCTGCCCAGGGAGGTGGTGCAGTCATCATCCATAGAGGCGTTCAAAAACTGTGCGGATGTGGCACTGAGGGACATAACTAGTAAGCAAGGTCGGGATGGGCTGATGGTTGGACTGGATGATCCTAGAGGTCTTTTACAATTTTTATGATTTTATAATTCTATGGGTACCAAAAACCGCGCTTAATAAGCATTTCCACATAAAACTCGAAAGTTTAAGGGTCTATCTAAGGACTTTCTTGTATGGAAGACATTTTAATTCCCTCATAATAAAAGCCTATGAACAACTCTTTACTGCCATAAAGCAAAGGTGAAGCAAATATTCTACGTGATGGAACATAAATTCTGAAATGCTGGTGAGTAGAATCAACAATGAATTTGGTTTACACACATTATTACAGTGCTCATAATATAGAGCTTTTTACAGCTATCTGATCATGGATACAAAGCAGCTGTAATTTGGTTTCCAAAATGAGTTTCTGAATTTTTAGATTCTAGAGTTAATTTTATACTCTGATATTTTGTATCTTTTTGATGCATTATATCCAGTCACTCCAGATACCTTGAAAAAAGTGGAAAACACAGCCCTACGTCTCTGTGAAGTAAGGACATAAACTTATTTCAGTACAGAAGAAAATGCTTAAAATGTTGCTACAAAGGTGTTGCAAAGTTCTGATTTCTTACCTACCTGACAGCAAAAATCTTTGTTTATTTTCATAGAATCATAGAAACTCCAAAGTTGGAAAAGATCCACAAGATCACCCAGTCCAACCATCCAACCAACAGTTCTCACTGAACCATCCCTCAACACAACATCCAAATGTTCCTTGAACACCTCCAGGGTCAATGACTCCACCACCTCCCTGGGCAGCCCATTCCAGTGCCTGACCACTCTTTCAGAGTAGTATTTCCTAACGTCCAGCCTGAATCTCCACTGGCACAGCTTGAAGCCATTCCTTCTAGTCCTTACATTTTATATTTTATTTTTAAATAGACAAAATTGAGTATTTTTAAAGTTTTTGCATATCTGTGCTCATGAACAGACTTTCTTGTGCCCAAATCAGTAAACTGCAACAATTTCATCAGGCTGAGCCAGCTGGATTGCCACCAGACCCTACAGAAATCCTACTTTGGTTCTTCTGCACTATCCATCAGACTCAGTGTGAATGTTAATGCCAGGTCTACAGTAAAATAGGATTAGTGCTTTTAGCTCAATCCCATTATGAATTAAGCTCACATCATATATCCATGACTCCTTATAAATCAGCTGAAGCATTCTGGTGCTCATCATCTTGAAGATGACAAAGGATCTTGCAAGCTAACAGTGCCAGCCGGAGGGTTTGCTGAGAAGTAGGGCAGTAGTCCCCTTCCCACTGGACTGTGATTTCATATCCTACATTTCAAACTATCTTTTATGAATACAGGCCAGTAAGCTATTAAAGAAAGGAGAGGTGGTAAATTCTGAAAAATGAAAAGGTTATAATAAAACAAATGGGTTACAATAAATTGCTGGGTACTGCTACATGACTCTCTTTTGGGTATCAGAGGAATGAAGGCTGATCGACAATACTGTAGTATGGGTGATTTATCTGAGTTTCCAGCCTATAACACACCTGAAAAACACTTTGATGGGAGAGTCAGAACAGACATAGAGAAGCACTTCTGCCCCAGCTGGATCACAACGCCTTTTCCCAGTGGAGCTGCAACTTGTAAACAGTCAGACACAAGAAAATGGTTCTTTTTTGTTTGCTTTCAGATTTAATTAGTCCTGAGTGCTCACACCAGCTGAGCAAAGGGCAAAAAGCTCTTCACCTCTACCCCCAAGGTGGGCAAATTGCCCTAAAAAATCTTTGGCACAACACTAGATCGCACCAATACCTCATATCCTTGATGAGGACTGTGCTCACAAAGACATTCTTTCCAAGGGAGGCAAATGGGAAACACCAATTACAAAGGCTGCTGTCCTTCAAATAGAATGAGCTCTCTATCTTCCAAATACTGAAAATCCTCCTGAGACATTTTCTATCTGAATACATCACTTAATCTTGTAGAAAGCCCCAGGACTGAAGGGTGCGTGCAGTAAGAAATTGCATCAAGTAACCGTACTGAAGATAAATGGCTTTGAACTTTCATGGCAACAATGAAGAACTACCTGAACATCCATGCAGCACAGGCCAAAAAAATCAAGGCTTTTAGACAAAGAAATAAACTTATTCAAACAAAAACTGAAATGTGGGGCAGAGTCTTAAAGCACTTTCTTTATTGCCACAGTCTGCTAAGCGAGAGTAA